GCAAACACGTTGACTTCCCTGTTAGGTTTCTCCTGAGAAGTACTGCATGTATGTATGAATGATCACAAAAATGTTGACAGTATTTACCTGATAGTTAATGAGGTTGACAACAGCTTGTTTGAGCATGAGCGATGGCTCAGCAAGACGTTGTACGGCTGTGGATGAGGTGGAATCAAACTGTGTGGAAGGGATATGAGCTCCTTCCTCTAGCGTTTCTGGGAACATGGCTTGACGAATACGTTGACTGTATGGAAAGATCAACAGTCCGAACTCAATATATTTGAAATGAAAACATATGACAGAAATAACCAGGACTTATCTTAAAACAAGTGGCTCTAACTTTTACATCTATGAATAACACCCTCGTGTGCAACCATTCAAATGAAAGCTATTGAACAGTACTTTCATGGGGTACTGTTTATTATGCTGCACAAGGTGGCTGTAACATTTAAGTCTCTGAATGATACTCTAGTGTGTGATCATTCATATGAAAGCTACTGGGCACTACTTTCTTATCATACTGTTTATTGTGCCATAGAAAGTGGTCCTGACTCTCAAGACTGTGGATGAACCTCTCTCATTGAAAAGACTATATTGCTTCTCAGTCTCTGTTACTGCTTTCCAATAAACATCATTAGGTTCTTCTTTATTGTTTATCTATTTCCTTGATATTTAATCTTGGGTGCTCTTGGGAGTATAGAGTTAAATGTGGATTATGAGATCAACTGGTACAAATATGGTTACTGGCTATACCTTTTAAAGTATCTGCATGAAACCCTAGCAGGTGACCATTCAAATGAAAAGCATTGAGCAGTATACTTTCATGTGCCACTGTTTATTATGCTGTATAAGGTGGTTCTAACTTTACGAAATCTACAAAGCTACTAGTGCAATGGCTACTGATTCTATTATCTATTCACAAGGTGATACCAACCTCCTAGTAGAGACAAACTGTTCATTCATGGCATGCATCTCCTGGTCAGAGAAGCCTGTTTCCCATTCAAATTGCATGTGACTTGTCTTCATGTAATCATCATCCTCATCACCTTTGATTGAGTGCGCAGTGGTGGTCACACCTGACATGATACCAGAGTCATGATACTGCTGGTGCTGTGTCCACATTGCAGTCTGTGCTTCTTTGCTCATTTCGCCATGTGGAACTCCAATTCTGCCTGTCTCCATGGTGAAATCTGTGAGGATAAGACGTTTAAGGAATTTAGAACATAATTTGTTGATTACTTTAGAAATAGAAAACAGTTTCAGCTGTAGCTGAGTGTTTCCATAGCTTTTTGAGTTCTCCCAAACCTTCAGAAGTATTGCACCAAACAACTAGGGTTATGCTGACATGTGAGTTCTAGAAACTGAAACCCAACTTGGAAACTTACCTGTCTCAGAGAAAGCAATTTATTACATTAGGGAAAACCACATCTGAACAGCTGACTATCAGACAGGGCATTCCCCAAGGATCAATATTGGGACCGGTGCTCTTCCTCCTGTTTGTCAATGACAT